CATGATACTGCACATCTTCAGTACGGCCATTATTTCCTCCTGTGAGGCAGAATGTAACTTCTGGAAAACAGCTGAGAGGGACCTGGTGCAAATTCTGGTAAGATGGGGGACCACGCTGGACACAAACATTTTAGGTCATAAAGGAAGTTAAAAAATAGATTTTCTTAAATAACCATTCAAAAGTGCTTTGAACAATGTTAATGACATTGTTCCCATGGTGGGCTGACTTCACCCAGATGTGCAGTCTAAGTTCCATGGCTTGCCAAAGACAATGTCACTATTTTAGGGACAATCATTTCGGTTCGACCTCTCCCAAGCATGGCTGTCATAAAGATATGCAAAAAAAAATACTTCACTAGGATGCCCAAAAACCTTTCGACTCTGCCAAAATAAATTCTGAAGTTGAAATTCAAAACACAATTTGTGTACCATTATTACAGAATGTTCTTATAAGGCTGAGATGTTTATTTTTAATACCTTTGGCATTTAACCGTTAACCCCGTATTTGCTCTGTAAATATTAAGTCCCGGCAAGGTATGAAAAAAATTAATTAAAAATTCACCATGAAGAAATTCATTTCAATCACATATTGATAAAAACACAAGTTGCTGCATCTTTGAAAAAACTAAACAGTAGATGACTCAAATTTGGAAAATCATGAGTGTACACAATTTCTATACATCCCATTATGAAGCTGATAATACCTTGCATTGTATAGAGTTTCAAAATATTTTTGCTTTTGGAAGCTGATGAAAAGAACTTTCACAAGTTCTTACCAAGTAATGAGACTCAGTCCTCTCCTCATCAGGACATGCAAAGTCCTCCAGGTTCTCTCTTTCATTTAGTCTCACAAGAGCTCATGACATTAACACTAAGTACAGGGGCAAAAAGTCGTGTGGATTTCAAGTCATATTTACCAAATGCTCATTATCTAGCCCCAGAGATAACCCCTGAAACAGACCTCGAATTCACGAGATTTAACTGCGAAAGGAGTAATAAAAGAGGTCCATCGTGCAATATTGGGGCGGGAGGGGTGGGTATTTTCACTGAAGGAGGGACGTGAAGGGTTAAGAAAGAGATGTTCGATATGCAGCCTCATCACTCATAGAACTATCTAGACTGATGTTCCGATAGCTCCGAATAGGAGCAGCTGGATGCAGATTTCTTCTGTTTTAATATTCCATGGATTGAAAAGACCCAGCAACTCCCTCTCTTAAGGGAAACCCAGTGGGAAGGTATGGATGTATCAGTAAAAATCTAACACTCTTACTAGATAGGTGGCTGAAGTTTAGACCTTCCCGCTGGTGAGAGAATAGAAGGAAGCACTTTGAGACTTACAATAGAGCGGCTGCAAACAGCTGACCTGCAGGTGTTCATCTGGACTCTCATCGATGAGCCTTGCCCTGGGCTGGCCATGTATTTCCCACGAGACTGGCACACTCAATCCCGCCCTAGATAATGTCCTAGACTCCAGAATTTTCCCTAAGTCTTCTGCGTCCATCAAAACATTTCTAGAGGGGCTGGCCCCGTGGCCGAGTGGTTGAGTTCCCGCGCTCCGCTGCAGGCGGCCCAGTGTTTCATTGGTTCGAATCCTGGGCGTGGACATGGTACTGCTTGTCAAGCCACGCTGAGGCAGCGTCCCACATGCCACAATTGGAAGGACCCACAACGTAGAATATACAACTATGTACTGGGGGGGCTTTGGGGAGAGAAATGAAAAAAATAAAATCTTAAAAAAAAAGAAAAAAAAACATTTCTGCACTTTCTCCTATCCCTTTCTGGTTTTGTTTTGTTGAATAGAGTTGTTTTGGCCAAGAGACTACTTAGCAATCTGATAAACTAATCAGTGGGATTGGACTAGGTTACCTTCCCAGAAAACATATTTGAAATGGATTCCAGACTTTCTAAAAACAGGTCATGCCTTCACCCAAAGGACCTTACCTACCTTGTAGTCGGCTATCCATCAGATTTCTAAGTTCAGAGCCCTGTTCCTGTGCATTTTTATATGACATCTGCAATTGACTCACAAGTAACACGCAAGTAAGAAAAAGGGGACACACCTTGAACACATTCTGTGGTGATGGCCAATTCAAATTTACTCAACTATTTCAGTATGGCTAAGTCACAGAGGCCCCACGAATCATAATTTCTGGGTCCAAAGTATATAACAGAGCTATAGACTTGGGTTCCAGTCCATTAGACAGTCCCAACTGGTCATGGCCACAAAAGCAGAACTTTCTCTCTGGATGATGACAAAGCCAGATTCTACAAACGAAACTTTAGATGGGTACCATTCTTAATTAAAGTCAAAGGAGACCGTGGCACCCTTCTGACCAATGTGCACTAAATTATAAAGACAAGCAGAGGTTCTTATTTTCAGGTCAAGTCTCATAAAGAAAAAGATACAAATTACTATTGCCAGTAGCGTTCTTCCTTCTCCAAAGATGGAGAAAAGTGTCCCAAAGTGAGTTTTCAGGAGAAAGATATGAAGTGGCCTATAAACTATACATTGTGTTCATGAGTCAGAAGATGGCAATCTTCCTCGTGAGTCACAACTGAATGAGTCTTGGTAGGCCCTTCGGTGGAGGAGGACAGTCTTCTTATGTCTACTAGACTTCCTAAGAGATGCAACATACACACACACACACACACACACGCAAAAATCCACAGTACAGGTGCTCTCCCTCCAGCCCAGCCAAGGGCCTGATGAATTATATCCTCCGTGCTAGCCCTCAGCCACACCCACTGAAAGCAATGCCCCTTCTCTTCTTGTTCTAAGCAGCTGAGGGATGCAGCTGGGCAGACCCAGACAGACGTGAGACAAAATGAAGCGTCATTTGGCTTGAAGAGGTCTTACATAAACAGAAAACACTATAACTGAGGCTTCTGACTATTTAAGATGCTGATGCTCTGTTCTAAGGCAATTTCCCATATCTAATGAACAGACAATTCTTCAAGCCTCTGAAGAAATAATTCACTTAATTTCTGCCAAATTACTCCACATCCAGGAGATGGAAAACATCTCCTACTTCAGGACGGCCAGCTGTTTCAACTTTTCTGTCAAGGACTTGTGGCCTCAGCAACCGTATCTGACACACTGATAGTCTCCTGGCAGCCCACAACATGGCCATCTGTGCTGTTGGCAGGGAACCCATCAACAGGTAAGTCACACCCTGTCCTCCGATGGACAGGCTAACACAACTCCAGAAGAGTCTTCCGTACCACACGCCTCCTCAGCATCCATTCGACCAACCATTTACTTCAAGAGCAATGGGGCCGAGTTGAGCACCGAGGTTGCAAGGTCTCCAAAAAGGCATCCTAGACTACTTCTCGGTCTGCTCAGCATGAAAAATAAGTAAACTAAGGGAAAGTTCATTTTCTCAAGGTACCCCTCAAGTACTTAAACTCAGTAAGATTCCTTAAGCTCTTGGCAAAAACACACTGTGGGTTCTTTTCAGCAATATTGAACCGTGGAAAATAATCACAGCAATTCTAAAGTCCTAGGACTATCACACTGCTTATGTTCAAGTGGCCAATTAGGCAGTGACCCAATTAGGTAGCTCCACCCAAGCACACACGCAGTGTAAGTAAATGGCTTTGGATCCGGTTCCAGAAATAATTTAGGGGCGACTGATTTCTTAAACCTGAAAACTGAAAGAGGAAATTTATTTACAGACAAAGTGTCTTCTCAGGTAGGGGCAAATGTGACATAATTTTAGGTTATGTAAGAAGAAAAAGCTTGGGTCAAAGATGCCCTTAAATATTTTTGTGTTTGTTTTTAATCATTCTTTTGAATAAACACAGCAGTGGGTCAAGGGCTGCTTCCTAGCGCTGTATGTGGCTGCGATGGGCCTTGGCTACATTCCCGCAGGCTGCTCATGCGGGATAAAGGAGCGCTGTACTGTTATCATTTGGACTTAGCTCCACTTTCGCTGTCATTAAAAAACAAGTAAACATCCAGAAGAGGACCAGTTCATCCACGTAAGCCGGATTATTTGAAAAGAGCAAGTGTGGAAACTATGAAGCCTTGTAGCTGAACTTTTTTTTTTCTGATGGACTGCCAATGTCTTCAAAATAGAGTCCTTGCTTTTGTGCTTTGGCAAGAAAAGTACACCACACTGAAGCCCAAGGGATGAAGCTACGGTGATTGGGGAGGGGAGGGGGTTGGGGGCGGAGCGGGGAGGTGGGGGGAGAGGAGAAGTCAGAGAAAAAGCCAGCCCCTTCCATACATTCCCAAAGTGCCCAAGGAAAAAGAACAGAAACCCTCGGCTTCCTCCCGTGCGGACCGTTCACGGTACCCCCAGAAAGTGCCAGGCACCCTGCACTTGGGGGAGGGGTGGGCGGTGTTTACTCGGCCTTTTCGGCGGAGACCCTGCCCGGCGCCCCACCAAGCCGAGGCCAGCGCGGTGCAGGCTGCGCCGGTCCCTGCGCTCCTGCAGCCTGTCCCCGCCAGGTGCTCGCCCTACCTGGCGCCCCCGCCGGCCTTTGTGCGCCCGCGCCGCTCCGGCCGGCGTGCGATGCCCGTGGGGACAGCTGCGGGCGCGGGCCGGGCGGCGGGGAGGGGACGCAGGGGAGGGGGCGCAGCCAGCCGCGCCCGCGCCAGCGTGCCAGCCAGCCTCCCCAGGCGGCGAGGACCAAAGGGGCACCGGCGGCGGCGCCCAGCTCCCCCGCAGGGAGAAATGGACCCCCGCGGGCCGTGCGCCCGAACTCAGATCGACCCACACTCTGGCTCCCGACAGCTGGCAGCCATCGCAACCCGGCCACCGAAAGTTTGGCGACGCCGAAACCGACTCGAAAGAAAGTTTTCCTTGGCCCCTCGCTCCTCTCCCCCGGCCCGGCCGGACCGAAAGCAGCAGGAAACAGGAGCTCGCGACGTGCGGACTCCCGCGTCCACTTCTCCATTCCCGGCCTCGGCAGCACTCCCGAGGTGGGTGCCCTGCGCCGGGCTTCCTGCCCCATCCCAGGCTCAGGCGTCCTGGGACGCGGCGCGGCCAACTCACCATGGTGACTCGCGCCGCGGTCGCGCCTCTGCCGGGTCCGGCTGCCGGGGAGCTGGGGCTGGAACGCAGTCTCCTGGGCGAACTTCAAAAGTTGGTTCCCTTCGCCAAAAACAGGCTCTCGACACCCAAGCACTCACAGGAGCCAATGAGAACCCTGGGGGGACTCCATCCAGGCGGGATCGGCGGCGCTAGGTGAGGGCGAAAAGCAGACGACTTAGCAGGCGGGGCGCATACTGCCGAGCGCAGGGGTCCACTCGGACCAGGCGCTCGCCGCCCGCCTAGGTGAGTCCGATGCTCTCCGCGCGTCTTCCCAGCTGCCCTGCCTCGGCTCCTTTTTCTTCGGCTACTTACTCCGTACTCCTCTGGCTCAGCCTCGGCTCGGGCTGGGCAATCTGTCCATAAATGGAGAATTCAGCTCAGGTCTGACCAATCAGGGTTTGTTTTCACAGCGTCACTCCTCAGGGAAACCGTAGTAGCCAACAAGCGTGGAGCTGCTGGAGTTTCCGAAGACCTCTGGATCCTGTAGTCCTGCTGCCGCCAGCCTCCGCGGAGCGCTGCCGACCCAGCTCGCTCCCGCTTGCGAGACCCGAGCTGTTAGGAAGAAAACCCTCTACGAAAGAGCGAAAGGGAAACCTCACACTTTCTATTTTTTAACGCGAAAGTTAGAGCAGTTGTAGCTTCCAAGCTGAAGTGGTATGATTTTCCCAGAACTTTTTTTTTTTTTTAAGAAGAAGGAAATATTTTATCAGCATAAAAGATCAGAGTCGTGGCAGCAGCCCAAAGGAAATCCTTTTTCTTTCCAACGTCTGGATTGTGAGGAAAGTCAAAAATATCATTTCCCCACCCCTCCTTTTACCTGAATTTCCTTGGAAAACAAAGGAAGGCTTTTCATTTATTTATTTATTTATTTATTTTTTAATGTTTTACTGGTGGAGAAGTTGCACGTGCAGTGAGCAGAGGCAAGGGGAGAGAGAAGTAGGAAATCGGGACCGCCGAACCCCTGTCAGCACCTATCTGTTGACAACGATTAGCAGCACAGTCAGAACTGGAAAAGTGCGTTATTCCAGAGCGTCTCGTTTCAAGAAATCAGGTGGGCAATGAGAAGATTGGGGTAGGGGAGAAGCAGAATCTTGAAATAAAGATAGGGAGTCTGATTTTACTGTTTTAAGGGTTCAGGAAGTATACTTCGTGGGTCACAGCAGGGCTGTCCTCTGGGTATCTGCTGTGGGTAGGATTTTAAAACTTCAGGGAGAGAAGAACTAGGCAGCCTAATGACTTCCTGTGATTTCTTTATGAACCTCCGTGGTAGCCCTTCATTGGAATATAGGGTCCTTGAGTTGGAATGGATGTTAAAAACCATCTTGTCTAGAGTGGATAAACAAAAGGCAGTAAATCCATACACTGGAATATTATTCAGCATTGAAAAGGAAGGAAGGATGGACATATGCTATAACATGGATGAACCTGGAAAACATTGTGTTAAGTGAAAGAAGCCAGGCACAAAAGACCACATATTATATGATTCCATTTGCATGAAAGTAGAGAATGGGGAAATCTATAGAGATAAAAAGTAAATTAGTGATTGCCAGGGGCTAGGAGGAGGGGACGATGGGAGTAATTGCTAATGGGTATGCCTTTTCTTATTGTGGCGATGAAAATACTCTGGAATTAGATAAGGGAGATGATTGCACAACTCTGTGGTTATACTAAAGACCACTGAACTGTACGTTTTATGAGGGGGAATCTTATGGTATGTGAATTATATCTCCATTTTAAAAATTGAAAGAAATCTTGTTGACTAAATTCTTGTGATAATCATCCACACAGCTAGGCAATAGATAGAACAGAATGCCTGCTATAGGCCCGCTCAGCAACTGTGGGTACCATGGTCTCTGCCCTCACCAGGCTTACAATTTTAGAAGGACGGAGACAGAAGATAAATTTTTAAAACAATAAATAATTATAGGAAAAGTACAGATATAATGAGAAGCGACAGTAGTTTTGTGCAAGCAACTGCCATATTTGGAGCTGTAGAGAATTCACCTGGCTGCCGTCTGTAGTGCAGACTGGAAAGGAAACAGCGAGACGTCTGCTGAGCACTTGCTATGTACTAGGCGTTGGCGGGGGACGTATACAGCCATGATTCATCAAATTCTCAGTGAATCTGATTCCATGTCTCGGGGGCATGTCAGCTTCAGAATACCGTGAGGTATTTTAGGAGCTAAGGAATAGAGGTTACCGAAAGAGAAATTTGAGCTTATCAGTAACACAAGAAATACTACTTAGGTTGAAAATGACACGTATTGCCTAAGCCACCATCCTGTCCACGGTCAACCTTGATTCGTCATTGGATTGATAAGGGGTTCAAGGAATACAGGCAGACGGAGTTGTTTGCCCCAAGATTAACCCAGGGATACACAAGACACTGAGAATCTCTTAATAATCCATCAGCAATCTATCAATCTCGGATTTATCTAAAACTACGTTGACACTATTTGCCGGTTGTATTAGCATTTGAGGTTCTTGAAAAATGCTTACTTTTTTAGGATGTATTTACCCTAATAATCTCTAGTGGGTGAGACTTTGATGAAGATAAATGCTTGTGTTCATTTTTCATGATTTTGTAATATAATTCCTTTCCAGATTGAAATATAAATATATGTATTAATTTTTATGTCTAGGCAGTACTTGGATTATGAGATTTAGTGGCACATAAACCTGCATTTGAAGACTGGCTTTTCCACTTAACTAGCTGTGAGATCTTAATTTCTCTGAGCTTCAGTTCCCTTATCTAGAAGATAGACTGATGTGAGTATGAAATGAAGTGTGTGTAAAGATGGTCAACAAATATTGGTTTCTTTTTCCCTTCACCTATATCATTGTTCTTGGCTGCAGATTCAGACCTGGGTCCCGGGGTGCCATCAGACAGACTGTGACCCTCTGAATTGCGTGCCAAGTCGTTGGGGCTGTTAGTGTGTGCCCTTTTCTTCAGGGAAAGTTAATAGCTTTGATCAAATTCTCAAAGATGCCATAACTGCCCAAACATTAGGATCTACAGCTCTTGACCATATTAGTTATGCCTCTGTGGGTCTTTGTGTCATTCTCTTTTTCTTGAGGCATCAAGATTAAAAATAAGTCTGATACTGTAAGGGCAGATTCAGCTTGGATTCTCAAAGCAGAACTCACTAATTCACACTTTGAACATAGAAGATAGTGTGTGATCATGTAGCAGAGCGTGTAATTTCATGAAGAATTCCTTCAAGCCCTGCCCTGCTCCATCCCCGTCTTAGGGAGACGTAGTGTCAGTTTTGGCTAGGGTGACCTTTTGTCCTGGTTTACCTGGGAGTGTGCTGGCTTGTGCCTTTATCTCAGTGAAATTGTTAGTTTCCCCTCTTGCATTCTCTAAAAGACCAAGTTTGAATGATAAATTATGGTCACTCTAGATTTTTGGCCAAATTACACCTCCCCCCAAAAAATCCTCACTTTTTATAGTGAAAGTCTTTCTAATTTTCTTGATTCACACCTATTTTTCAGAGGACTCAGTAATATATTACCAGATGTTTATTCTTATTCGAGGTCATAGTAGCCATGAAGTGGAAGCAACTTTTGTCATTGTAAAACTCATTCTAGACACATGATGGAGCTAGTCGGATGAGACTATACATACGTTGGCATGATTAGCTGCATTTTATCTGGGGCTGAAAGAAAAGGAACAAAGGAAAAGATCAAGATGGATACAAAGTACAATTGCCCATATGGATCTATCAGTGAAAAAAAAAATCACTGCTTATAAATTTTGGAAAACAATCAGTAAGAAGATAATATAAGGCAATGAAACTATTTCCATGTCAGTACCATAAAGAACATCAGAATGCCTTCACCACAATAGAATTAAAGAAAAACTTGTTAATGGGAAAACTAGGCCAGAAATCTTTAACAAGACGCTAAGGACTTAGAGACTTGTGTCACATCAATGTGAAATGTCCTGGGTCATCACTCTTTCTACCACAACAGACATCATTTGTTAGGTTCAGTGGGTATCAGCTACTGCTCTAAGTGCTTACTGTACGATATCTTATTTGTACTGTATATATTTTATTTGTATCTTCCATACAACCCTAGTAAGGTGATTTGAAGTTAAGAGACTGAGTTGAGAGGCTGGTGAAGCAATTTGCCCAAGTATCACTCAGCTTCCGTGCATCAAATCTATATATTTGCCTGACTCTGAAGCCCCAATTTTTCCCCTGGAAGCGGTGACTCTGTAGTAGGAGTGTCCATCAGAAGAAATTTTCCCTGATGCAGGCCCAGTATGCATAGGAAGAACTTATTAAAACCAGGGCTCCTAGAAAAATTCTTGCTTTTTTATGAGACCTAACAATTACATTTGTGTAGTTTAACTCAACCTTAAATATCTGTGTTCTTCTCCTAATAGGTTAATATTGATCTATAAAAAAGATATTGCAGAAAATTAACAGTTGGATAATGTAATATGATGCTACTTGGATCAATGTAAAAAAGTTTTCCTATAATGTAATAATTATTTTACTGAAATAAAGGAATGATTTCACCAAAATAAAGGAACAGACATATGTAAACATATGTTTAAACTGACAGCTTATGAAATGCATGTTTATATACATTTATTATTACATTTTCTCTGATTTAAGCCAATATTTTCTTTGTTCCTTTCTTCCAGTTTCAATTTGATTTTTACATTCAGAAGATAAACCCTGACCCTGCTCTAGATTTAAAAGTGATCAAATAATGATTAATACTAGTTATGGTGTTCCATGATCTTCCAAGGAGTGGGGTGTTCCACAGAAGTGAGTTTTACAGATAACTGACTCTCTTGGATCAACTCTATGTCCACACCCTGGTTTGCTTTCTTCTTCCCTCTTACTGTCAATTTATGCTATCTTATTGGATTTTGTGTATTTTTGGAAGTCATCATTAATCTTTGCTGGAATAAGGCAAGGCATGTATAAATAAATATATGCATTTGAAAAACTAAAAAATAGCAAGGAACTGCACGAACCTTGCCTTTTTAAAGCACCCAAACTTTTTTTAACTTGAAGGAAAATTTTTCTGAAGTAAACTGCATGCTTCATTGCCTTTTGAAAATATGCTGAACGTCAAGCAGCCTGTGCCTGAAGACTCAAGGTCATTGCTATAAATATCGATTATCGCCCAGGGTTGCACGGAGCTCAGGTCCTTGGGGACCATTGAATGGAACCACTGTTTGCCACTATCCTTCGTAGCCCTGGACCACTGACCTTGTACAGTTCTCCTGTCTGGTCTTGTTTTTGTTTTCTTTTAAAGTTTATGTACTCTATTGTCAGAGACTTTTTTCTCCTGCTATCTGCTGTTCCAATTTAGTCTCTTTTAGTAACAAGGAGCGAAAAAGAAGCACAGGGGTTTCTTCATGAGAAAGTTTTTTTAAAGGTATATTTGCCCAGGAAGCCAGGGGAAACAGAACACAAAGGAAAGTAAGACTGTCCATGCTTTCTGGCCTTGTCTGGCCTCCAGGCTGGTCTGCATGCGTGGATTTCTTCTGTCTCTTCAAGCTTTCCCCACTTACTCGTAGTCACTCCTCCTGCTGTAATTTCAGCTTGCAAGGTGTCTCTAGTGTGTCTTGATCCTGACTCAGGCCCCCAAACGACATTTCTGCAATGCTGCCCACGGCTCACTGGAAATGTCCCTCTTGGTCTCCTGATTCAAGTTCCAGATAGACAACCGGAGGAAGACAAAGAACGAGAGAATCTGACTCACCCAGCTCAAGCTTTCAAACCACACCACCCAGGTCGTAGGTCACTGGCAAGCCTATGGAAGACTCTGCCTGGCCCAGGTGTCTTTACAGTCACATTCCAAGCAAATGTTGTCACAGGGGTGGTGTCTTAAAGCTACTGCCACATTAAGAAGAGATGGTGAATGGAGACAGAGTATCGGAGGAGGGGACATTGTAGGCACTCCACATTTGGGGCATGCAACAGCTTGCCGACTACGTCTGTCTGCTGCCTTAATTTATACGCAGTTGTCTTGGTGAGGCTGTGAAGGCGGTTCCATTCACCTCTCCGACAGAAAAAACTGCATAGGTTTTGCAACGATCATTGTCATTTCAACTTTATCATCATATACCTATAAATATGTTTGTATATTTAAGATGTGACATATGTTTTGCCTTTACTATCATGCATTTATGAATGTGTTTATATATATGCCTATAAATATTTGTATATACACATAGATCTGTGTGTGTGTGTGTATATTTAAGATGACATATTTTTTTAAGATATTGTTATAGACACTTGGGGAGATTTGCCTTTTTCAATAGACTTTATTTTTTTTAGAGCAGTTTTAGGGCCACAGCCAATCGAGGGGAAATTACAGAGATTTCCCATATACCTCTTGCCCCCACACCTGCATAGCCTCCCCCTTCATCAAGGGGATTTACTTTGAATAGAGTGTCTCTTGGTGTTGGTTCTCTGCATGTTGGCAGCATGGTTTCCAAACCACTACTGTTTTCACTCACCACGACAAATATTTGCTGAGCACCGTTGTAGGCATGGGAGGAGAATAAGACAAGTGCGCTGTCCCCATTGTCTTCACAGCTTTTCATGTACGTCAAAAACATATACAACAACATACAATGAACTTGAGATCAACAATTCAAAGAGACTTAGGCACCCCTGTGTTCACTGCAGCACTATTCACAATAGCCAAGATGTGGAAGCAACTCAAGTGCCCAGCGACTCATGAGTGGATAAAGAAGATGTATATATATGTATAATAGAATACTACTCAGCCGTCAAAAAGACAAAATTGTCCCATTTATAACATGGATGGACCTTGAGGGTATTATGTTAAGTGAAATAAGCCAGAAGCAGAAAGACAAACACCGTATAATTTCACTCATTTGTGGAAGATAAACTATCACATGGACAAAGAGAACAGATTAGTGGTTACCGGAGGGGAAGGGGGTTGGGTGGTGGGCATAAAGGGTAAAGGGGAACATTTATATGGTGACTGCAAATAATAATGTACAACTGAAATTTCACAATGTTATAAACTATTATGACCTCAATAAACAATATATATATACAACAACACACGGACTTCCCACTTTCATATACAATGTGTTCCTGAAAATATGCACCAATGTCAGTTGTATCAAATCCAAAAACAGATTTGTGTTTTTTAAGAAGAGGGTTCTCTTTTCAGAGAGCTAAAATATAGTATAAAATTCCAAATGGTGCCTGGTCTCTTAGATGTAGTCTTAAGCTGTAATTCCAGAATTTGGTAGATGCTCTTCAAATTTGGGCTTCTCCATTCCAGGTGAGCAGAGTTGACCATCTAATGTCTAAAAGGCAGCTTTCTGATTTGAGTCAGCTATTTCCCTCTCTATGAATGTGAATTGTCTTCCTTAGCTGTAAAAACAGAGATAATGATAGTACCTCCATCATCTATTTCTCACATAGTATTGTGAGGATTCAATGAATTAAGTCATAGGAAGTGATTAGCATAGTGATGGATACATAGAGAGTTCCAAGTATGAGTTGTCATTGCTGAGGTTCAAGATTCACCATCTTCTGCACACCTAACACTTCCTCCTTTGTCTGGATTGTTCTAAGTTTGTGAGAACTAGACTTCTGTTTACTGGTGTTCACATTTATATTTTTCCTATATGTCACTAATTTTGATGAAGCAACAAGGCTAAATGCAACTTAGTAGGAACATAGTTGAATAACTGCTGCTAGGTTGACAGAGGTGGTGGTGCAGATGGAACTAAACTGTGAGCTGAGCTGGCAGGCAGCACCCCCATGAGATCCATCAAGATGTGCCCTTGTTACCTGGCTTGTTGCCTGATGCCACATAGGAAAGATGGCTCAGGTGTGTTAATGTCTAATGTCCTTATCAGTACAAAACTTATGACAGTTAAAAGCTTCTATAATTTAAGGTGGTACAGTTTTGCTCCAAATGGTATAAAATGGATATAAATATGCACTTTCTTAAATATAAGGGAACTTGGTGATTGAAAAGTGCGTTATAGCACATAAAAATACCACACAACCATAATGAATTCTTACTATATAAATTTGCCCTAAAATAGTATCGCAGCCCCAATAACTATTACTTAAACATTTTTTCTAAATTTCTTTCCAGTTTAAAAACTGAGAGTGGGTATGAGAGTGGTGGCAGGGGGAGCGATGCTTAGGAATAATTTATAAAGAAGTACAATTAATGTTTTTTTTAACTATACTTCTCTGTAAAGCTAAATTGTTTAAAACCAGTCCCCTAGGCACCTGGCAGGAAAAACAAAACAAAACAAAAACAGCTAGCAGAATAAAAAGTGGTTGAATGGATAAACAAAAACCACAAGAAAAGTGACTAGACTTCCATTTTCTCTGTAGTACATTACCATTGGTTTTAAATTACAAAAGAAATATACACTTCTTGTTATAAAAAAAAGCATATGAATTTAGAGTTTGTAGGATAAAAAGTGAAAGTCTACCTGCCCACACTCTCTCCTACAAGCTTTTAAATGTGAGAAAATGGTGATCCATTGGTAGAAAATGAGAAACAAAGAGGAGACTCCAGTTTCGGTGAGTTCCATGTTAGACCTGTTCAGCTGGAGTTAATGGAGATTCCAGCATCTCTGGGAGAGGCTGGTTGACCCTCAGGGGAGATGTCAGGTCTGACATTGCCTGTGCCCTTTGCAGTCTTCATCCAGTTGTTCTCCTGTTGCTTTTGATGCTGAACCACTCCTTCCTTAACCTTCTCTCCCTCCTTATCTCTCTGTTGGCAAGGCTGTGGAGAAAGTTTTCCTCTATATTTTTGGTGGGAGTATAACTAGGTAGAAATCTTATGGAAAGCAATTTGACACTATCTAGCAACATTACAGAATCGTGCAATCTCTGACCAGCCATTCTGCTTTTGGGAATTTATCCAAAGATGTACACGCACAATGCAAATTAAGATATGTCTACAAAGCATCACTGGTGTAGCAAAAGACTGGAAACAACCCAAATGTCCATCATTAGTGGAACTGACTAAATGCATTAGGAGACAACATATAACAGAATTTTTTAAATTGTAAAAAGCTTTTAAACCAAATGAGGCATTCCTCTCTGAACTGATGTGGAAAGACTTCTGAGATGTATTAAGTTAAAATGAAAAGAGTAAAGTACAGAATAGTTATGTACATCAGACAATAGTATGTATATCAAGAATAGTATATATATCAAGTTACCTTTTGTGTAAGAAAATACGCATAGGGAAATAATAGATTTGTATTTATGTTTGCATGAAGAAACTTTGGTAAAGATAAAAGAAACTCAAACACAAGAAGCATTTGTGAGACGTGGGAGGAAGGGGGGAGCAAGACTGCATACTGGATATGTTTTATATTGCTTGATTTTTGAACCATTGTAACCATATTACTTAGAAACATTTAAAAAATTGTTGTCGAGCAGAATACACTGTTACACATGGTGGAATAATACAAAGGCTGAATAGGGATCACGCAAGCAAACATTTTGAAAGCATAAGTGGGGCTTCTTGGAGTGGTGGCATATGAGCCGACTGACCTCAAAGATCAGTTTAGAAAGGTGGAGAATTAACATAGGATTTTCTAGGTTTTAGGATCTGAGTAAGCAAAAGCCCAGGAGTATGAAAGCTTATTGAGTTGACTGGAAATGTTTCTTTCTAGGCCACTTTCTCGAACTCATTGAGAAAATAACGAGCTGAGAGTTCACTTTTGTCTCTTTGGGACCGTAGCAAAATGAATCTGGTTCCTCGGTCTTTGCTCATGTGAAATGCAGGATGTAATTTACCATGCTTCTTATATACTGTTGACACGCCATCCCCAGATGTGTCAGATCTCATCCATTGCTCGTCTTTGAGAAAAGTCACCAAGTAAATGTGAAGTTACTTATGCCACGAAAATTGAATCCTAATCCATTTTAGAAAAGAATTTATCAGAAAATTCAAATGATTAAACCTGATCTTTAACCTCAGCTAGAAATAGGTCTATTGTGACTAAGGGTCCCAGGTTACGTAATAGTTGTGTGTGTGTGTGTGTGTGTGTGTGTGTGTGTGAGGAAGATTGGCCCTGAGCTAACCTCAGTTGCCAATCTTCCTCTTTTCGCTTGAGGAGGATTGTTGCTGAGCTGACATCTGTGCCAATCTTCCTCTATTTCATTTGGGACACCGCCACAGTGTGGCTTGACGAGCAGGGCTTGGTCCATGCCTGGATCCGAACCTGCCAACCCCAGGTCTCTGAAGCAGAGCATGTGAACTTAACCACTAGGCCACCAGCCCAGCCCCTGTGTAATAATTAACTTCAGTATTGATATACAGCATGTGCCTTAGTTATATTTCTTATCTTTACATCTCTTGATATGTATTTTGTTATCCTTCCCACTGAACATGGGCCATGAGAAGAGCAGCTGAATGTTGGAGAAGGTGATTCCTGGTGACAGGATAAAGGAAAGTCAAGTTTGTTTTTACCAAACTCATGAAGTTGCTCAATAATCCTAAAATGACTCATTTTAGTACTTTAAAATCACATTAATCCTGTTGTGTTGAAAACAGTGCTTTAGCGAAGTAGATCCAATTATGTTAAAATCAGTCTCTCTCTCTGTCACACACACACGCACACACACACACACACTCCATCTATCCAAAGAACAAAAAAAGCCTTGAAGGAAATA